TTTTTTTTTTTTTTTTTTTTTAGCTAACGCCAAGAAAAAAAACATTTCCTTCCACCGAAATCTCTTATATTTGTTGCTTTGTTACTTTTTTTCTTTTTTTTTGATGCTGTTGCTGTCGCTGTATAATGTTCAGCTGTTCGAGCTACTGTTATCAAACATTGTGGTAGGTGCTGTATCGTACCGAATAATTTCAACAGGTAACCATCATCTAAACATCAATTAATTTTGATTCTATCGGGCAACTGAAGCAAACAGAGATCTGCTGGTCAGCAACTATTCACCAAATATTCACTATTCAACCCGCAAATTATTGACGATAAAAAATTTGTGGTTTGTAATACCCCATTTTACAGTAATGAAGGCGTTGAAAATTAAATGTTATATTTTTTCTTGGGTACATTTTTACGCTGTCGTATCCGACGGTAGACAGTGGGGGGAAAAAAAACAAAAGTTAGATAAACAGATAACAATTGATGTGTGAGCAACAGAATAGGTTGGAGGCTTATCAGCTGTCTGTTTTAAGAAACTGTCGAAATACTTCAATTGAAAGCTCATGGCGCCCAGCTACCGTTTCCTCCTCCTCCTCCTTGTCCTCCCCTCTCCTTCTTCTCCTCCTTTTCCGCTGTCATCAACGCCGCTCTCTAACCTTCCTTTTCATCTCTCTTTTAGTCCTCCCACTTTTCAGCTAAAGTAGCTGCCAGCTTCTTTCCTTTTTTTTTTGTTTTTGTTTTTTGTGTGAAGAGAGCTGATAGATATGTAATCGTTCTTTTTCAATTTAGAATATTTGTTGTTTTTTGAAAGTATGGCGATAGTTTTGAAAATTTCAAACAGATGTTTGGTTATGAGAGTTTTTGCACATCGTTTTAAGATTGGGCAGTAAAAAAAAAAAAAAGTTTAAAAAAAAAAAAGAAGGAAAGAAAGAAAGAAAAGAAGAATTTTTGCTCTGTTTTGTTGGTAATGTTCATCTAAGTTCATTTTTTATTTATATTTTTGTTGTTCACTTTTTTTTTCTTTTTTTTTTTTTTTTTTTTTTTTTTT